GAGCTGGCCACACACACACACACACACACACACACACAAATAAATAAAAATTAAAAAAAAAAAAAAAAGAAATGATGCAGGGGCTGGAGCAATAGCTCAGTGGAATAAGTGCTTGCCAGGCAAGCACAAGGTCCTGAGTTTGATCCCTGGTACCAGCAAAATAGAAATGATGCATTATTTGGGATTAGGGAAGAAGTTATTGTATTTTTTATTATTTTTATCTTTATTATTTTGGTGGAACCTGGGCTTGAACTCAGGCCCTTGCGCTTATTCTACTGAGCCATCTCCCCAGCCCCCCAGTTACTGTGTTAAGGGGAAGGATGATCTTGCTCTCCTGGAGGGATCCATGCACTCTGGAGGAGCCGGTGGCTGGCAAAATGGAGTGGTATGGGTGCATGTTTTCCTCCACCTCCTCATCCCTGTAAGCCTGGACTGGCTTCGGGGTCAGCAGGCCAGGAGTCTGAGAAAGCTGTGTGCACCCCACTTCAGGGCTGTGGCAGCGGCAGCACTGCTTTACATTTTGTTTTTATTAATGTTTTTTTTTTTAATATTTATTTATTACATTTATTTATTGTGTGTTTGTGTGTGTGGCCAGCTCAGCCCACCAGGGGGCGGGGCTGGCTGGCATGTGGTGCCGGGGATCGAACCGAGGTCCCTGTGCTTTGCCAAGCTTGTTTCAAGTAGGTGCTTTAGACCACTGAGCCATCTCTCCAGCCCTTTATTAATGTTTACATGAGCTGGGCAGAGTACTGGGAACTGACACAGGAGGATCACAAGTCCAAGGTCAGCCTGGACAACTTGGTGAGAAGCTGTCTCAAAGTACTAAATAACCACATAAATAAGGCGGGCTGGGGATGTAGCTCAGGGCTTCCCAGGTTTAATTTGGGAAAAAGAAATTATGGGGTGACTTGACTAGAGTACTATGGGATCACAGAAAAGGAACTTAGAAGTTAGTTACTGTAACCCTACTTCCACTCCCTTTTACCATCCGCTACAATGTTTTCACTCAGGTACTTTTTTTTTTTTTGGCGGAACCGGCGATTGAACTCAGGCCCTTGCACTGGCCAGGCAAGTGCTTACTCTACTGAGCCATCTTGCTTCTGGGGCAAGGACAGCGGGAGGGAGATGACTAGCTTGATGCTGCCATACTGTGTGGTGGCAGCAGGTGAAGTGGCTGGGTTCTGGAAATGTACTGAGGGACAATGTTCTGGGGGATGAGGCCTTCCATTTTCTGAGCAGGAGAGGGAGGACGGGCCTAGGTGAGACTGGATGGAGACAGGAGCTCAGTGTGAGATGTGCCACAGTTCAGGGCTTTCTAGCATGGAAGGGGTGTCACAGGCAGCTGGCACTAGACGGCTGGAGTTCTGGCAGCTGTCTAGGCTGACGCTGAGTGTGAGACTGACAGCAGTTGGCGGGGACCAAAGCCTTGAGCTCTATGAGGTTACCCAGGTAGTGATGTAGAAGGGAAGAACACTAGTGCTGGGCTCTGGGCTCCCCAAGATTTGGAGGTTGGAGATGCATTACTCAGCTTCTCATTCTTCTAGCAAATTGCAGACAAACAACTTACAAAGAGAAAAGCTTGACTCAGGTTGTGGTGGCTTCAGGCCATGGTCTATTGGTGTTATTTCTTGGCATAAGCAAAGCACTAAGTCAAAGTGGGCTGTGTGTGATGGGGAAAATTGTGCAATTCATTGCCAAGGCATGGAAAGAGGAAGAAAGCCAGGCTTGTGGCGATGGTGATTCCAGTACCTGGGAGGCTGAAGCAGGAAGATCGCTAGGGATTCAAGGCCAGCTGAAACTACAAAGAGAAACCCTGTTCTCAAAGGGGGTGGTGGTGGGGGAAGAAGGGAGGGGAGACAGGGACAGAGAGAGAGAGAGAGAGAGAGAGAGAGAGAGAGA